CATTAAAAGGCAGTCTGAACATTCAGTGTTTTGCCCTGATACAAGTTGTCTTGGTTCATGGCGTTTTTACAAGCGTGTTTTAAACAAAATACAAGCGTAATACTGTTTGAAAGGTTTATTTTTCAGCAAGTTTTGCGTGCTGTGGCTTATATTATATTGGTTCTTGAGCTTTCAGTTGTAGGTTATATACGTTATTTTTTCAACTTTCAAAAAAATGACGGATTAATTGTGCTCGTGGTGGTTTTTTTTTCTCCATACAAATTTGATTTTTTAGCCATGACGTATTGACAAGTTTTTTATCAGCCAAAATCTATTGTTGTCGAGAGCTCAATTTAAAAAAGATATTTCACCTGCGATCTTTTTTGGTTAAGTTAGAAGTGTTTATAAAAATGAAATTTTGGCCATATTGGGACAATTAACGCTCGATATACTTCGCGCAATTAATGCGTAATTGGAGAATTAATCCCACTAACAATTAGCTCCAAATTAGTTAATGCAGGCTTTTCAACGTAATTGCTAAGCTACTAGGAGGGAAATCTATCTTTTTGTACATTATATGGCGTGTGGGAGGATGACTTTACTAAGAAAATCTCAATTTCTTTTTCGAGAATTGATATTTTTGTTAAAGCAAACACTGCTCCATAGACCTCAAAAGGCAGTCGGAATCTCCAGGGCTTTGTCTTGATACGAGCATTTTTTTAAATTTTGCTGTCAATTGTTGAATTTTTATCACGGTAGTTTTGCAGCTGTCAGTTAACGTTTTCTTGTTAGATGTATTGGAGATACTACTTCAATACTGTATTGTTGAAAAATTAGTGGTGAATTCTCGTTGGTTTTTGTTTCTGGCTGTAAATTTTGTTGGATTAGACATCTCTGTTTGCCTCAACTGCATTGCTCCCATTAATTAATTTTCTTCTTTTAAATAATACTTTAGGTAGATCAAAGTTTTACCTGCTTACAAAAGTGTATCATTTGATAGCTGCACCTAGCGTCATTTGTGTTGCAATTTAAACCTTTCGTAGTCTTTGTTCGTAAAATTTGTTGCCTTCTAAAGGTATTTTCTAAAAATTACTCTAACTTTTCTATGAAAGACTTATGGTGTACAGATTTGTCTGTGTACAAAGTTTAATTAGTTTAACAAAATCAGCTTGTACAATTTTTTGCAGGGTTTTTTGATCAAAAAATTGCTTTATTGTATTTTTTCCTAATACGGCTGAATCAACTAATTGAGCTCTTTGACTTAAGCTGAAAGGGTTTGCTCGTTCAAAAGAGGGATAATTAGTGTGAGTGATAGCTTGTGTAATAGACATAATAATGGTATGCATAGACAAAATGAATTTCCTATGATTTTTCTTGGGCAACTTTGTAGGTGAAGTAGATTTTCTTCTGCTTTTTTGATAAATTTCTTTTGTCATTCTGTAGATCAAAGTTTTAATTTCTTTCAAATGGTACCATGTCATAATCTGTTATGATGGATTTGATAAAACTTCGATTTGATCTTTCTGGGTATTATATTAAGTGTGAGTTACGTTTTGCAAAAGGTTGACAGATTAAGTTTATTTAAAAGCATAAACTACATACTTTTTTTTTCGTCATAATCATAACTTGACTGTTAGCAGAAGGTGTTGGCAGAGTTTTATTTTGCAAAATAAGTTTCTGTGATAAAATTTCGCAGTTGAACAAAAAATAGAAGAATCTTGTGTGTTTTTCTAACTGCTCTTGCTAGTAAGTTGAAGCCCTCTCAAAACCATCTTTTTACCGATTAAAAAGACAAAACAGGTGGTCTTGCAGTGAACTGTTAGCGAACAAAGCACATTATTCATTTTTCATTTTTTGTCGTAATTTTTGAATAGGTAAACAAACTTCAATACTCACAATCAGGTCAATCTGAGCACTGCATACTTAAAGTTCAACAAGACTGCTCATGTCAGGGCGAAGCCCTGAATGTTTCAACTGCCTTCTAAGGTCCATGGAGAAATTATAAAATCGCAAATTCATTTATATATGAAAGATCATCCCTACACATGTCATATAAGGTACAAATGGATAGATTTTGCTCCTAGTTACGAACCAATTGTGGCAAATAAGCTTCCTTCAACCAGTTTGGAGTGATTTCTAAGAAGGATAAGTTTTCCAATTACGAGTTCATAACGCGAAATGTATTGCTTGTTAATTGTCCCAAATTGGCCAAAATGGCAAACTTTAAACCCCAATAACTTTTTGAAAAGAGATCAGAGGTAATAAAATGATTCAATTTTATGCTCAGGACAACAATACTTTTTGAATGATGTAAAAAAAATGGTCAAAAAAGGCTAGAACAAAAGTCGAAATTTGTCTGAAGAAAAAAGCCCACGCCGAGCACAAATATTCCGTCACTTTCGTTACGAAAGTCAGATCAACAAGACTGCTCGTATCAGGGCGAAGCCATGCATGTTTCGACTGCCTTTTAAGCTCTATGGAGCAGTAATGACAAAATTAAATACATGATAAAAAAAATTTAATTTGAGATTTTTTGTGAAAATGATCCCCCTAGTGTCATATGAAGTATAAAATGACAGATTTCGCTCCTAGTAACAAGCCAAACCAATTATGGCAAAAAAAGCTTTTTTCAATCAACTTGGAATGATCTATAAAGCGGATTGAATCTCCGCTTACGAGTTAAAAGCGCGAAACAAAATGGCAAGTCTTAAGCCCCCAATGGCATCTTTAAATGAAGTATAATCGGTTAATTACAGCACAAAATTATAGATAGCGAGAAGCTCACGTATGATTTTAACTCAGAACATGTTGAAATTTGCTCTTAGTTCGTGATCTGGAGTTTTTTATTTTTTTAGATGCATTTTTCGTACAATGATAACAATAAGTAATAAAAACAAGCAAAAAAGTTTAAACAATTTCTCGAGTTGATTTTTTCCCTCGTTTTGCAGATATATGATTTTTAAAATGCGATTTTTAGAGATGGATCCAAGAAGCGCTTATATAAGTGAAACGTATATTTATGCATACCACAGGACTTCCCCATCAAAGTTAGAGAAAAAGTTCCAAACGAGTGGCCATAAAAACTATTGTCAAAATTTTGTTTTTCAACCTGAGATTACGACTCAATTGAATTTACTCAGAAAATGTTTTAAGATCAATTTTAGTATCATGTTTCATTTGACAACCAAAAAAACTCACTTGGATGGATTCTAGATAGATTCCTACAGATATCTTTTCATGTTGAGATAAACTCGATTTTAAAACTGGATCTTTTCAAACTCGATTTTAATTGATCTTATAAACCAGAAAAAAAAGAATCATGCTAAATGAATTTGGATCCGATTTTGTCTCTTTAAGGTTATGTTTTATTATTTTATCTTTATAATTTTGTTTTGTTTCATAAATCAGTCTGTTCTAATAATTCGTTTTTCAATTTTAATTGTTCAAAAATTCATAATTCATTGTTTGCTTTTGAGATAATTTTTCTGCTATTACTTGATCTGATAAAAAAAGATCAAATTACCTGTAAAGTTAAAGCAGCCTAATCTTTTGTTCCGAAATGTATTGAAAAAGTTGATTTTTGTATTTAAAAAGTATTTAAAAATATAATTGTTGTAGAACTATTTCGTATCTTTTAATCTTTAGATTGCAGATTCTTCAAGGCTTTTCTCAAAAAAAATACGTTACGTTGAGCAACCCCTCCTGAAGAGACTGTAGACCACCGAAACAACTGAAGACGAGTTTTTTGCTCAATTTTTGGAGCTGGAATGAAATTAGAATAAGATTAAATTGAAACTTGCTGATAGCTCCAAAATTGACTTGTTACAACCCAAAAACTGATTTACTTTTTTCAAAACTCTAAAATCAATCTATAATTCATGGATGAAGCGATTTAGGCTGATTTTATATCAATTTCCCTTTCTAAATTGTTCATGGATTTAAATCAGACTAATCCTCTCTAAAAAGAAATTCCGAAGAACTTTAGCTCTCAAAATATTGTTTCATCTTCAGAGCCTGAAAAAAATTTGACATTTTTCATCTTTGTTGATAGCTCAAATTTTATTTTTTCAAAACATTTCTACTTGAAAAATTGAAATAAAAACGGACTCTTGTTCAGTTTAGGACTAAAATTTTGAACTAAATTTTGCTCTTCGATAAAAAATAAAATTTCTATTCATAACTAAATATTCTAAGAGCTACATTAAAGATTATGGATCTATCTGCGATATTTTAAAATTAATGTGTTAATACTCGATTTAAAAAACTTATTTAGCCATCTGCCAAGCGAAACTTGCCAACGCTCTCTTTGAGGACTTATCATTAATGGACTAGTTAATAATTCAGTTTTTCTTTTGTGCAAATTTTCAGAAACTGAGAAAAATTGGCTAATTTTTTCAATATTTTTTTTCTTTTCTCACTTGAAAAGCAGGATAAAATTTGACCCGCATTAACTTGAGCTCTTTTTTTATTTTTGAAAGTTTACAAAGTTTTAAAATTTCAAAAGAAAAATTTAAAAAAGAAGTGACAGTTGAAGTCGTTGAAGTGTTTCTCATAAACTTCTTTCATTTTTTTTGAAGTTTTGTTCTGAGCTTGTCAAATATTCATACCAAGCTGAGCTAAATTTGATTGATTTGTGGATAGTTTTTTGTCACTAAGTGTCTCTAATTAGTACATTCATCTATCGGCTAGAACAATTTTGCAACCAGCTTGATATCAACAATTAGCTTACAAATTATGCGTTTTTAGAGAATTAATTGTTGAATTGTCAATTTTTTTCTGGTGCAAAGCTCACAATTGTTTTTGCTTTTCTTACCATTATAAATGCAAAAACTCTTTTTGTCATTTTCAATCAAAAATAAAAATTAGTTTATCAATTCAATCAAAAAAGGCTAAAAATTAAGAAAATTTACAACCGTTGTGAAAATTAACAACTAAAATAATGAAACTCTTACTCTTTCTTGTTATTTTTATCGAAACTTTCGAGTCAATTGTGGCTTCAAACCAAACATGCAAATCTCAAGCCGATCTTTTAGACGAAATCAAATCAAATTCCACAATTAATGTGTTCCCTGTGCAAAATCCTAACATTGCACTTCGAGCAATTGCAATTTTCGACTTTCTGCACCTTCTGCATGTTGATATTATGCAACAGCAAATCACGATTAGAGGGTGGGTGGCACTCGAGTGGAAAAATGAATTTGTTCACTGGGAAGCTGAAGATTACTGTGGGGTGACTCATATTCTGTCGAGTGGGGACAAAAATCTGCTGTGGTTTCCAGATGTGATAGGTTACACAAGTCATTCTACTCTTTGAACAAAATTTTTCAAAACAGTTTTAAAAGACTTACTGACAAAACACACCATTTAAAAAGTTTCAAAATATTCAAACTGTAAGCTGTGCTCCATAGAAAAGTTAATCAAGACATAATTATCATCAAGTTAATTATCAAATAGGCTCGGTTTTTCAGTTTATTTGATTGCACTACTAGGTATAGACAAAATCTGGCAACAGATCAAAAAATTAGTTTATGCAGAAGTTCAAATTAAAATGACGAACATTAGTTGCTGAAATTGCGTGAATTTGAAATCGTTGAAAGAGTTGACATTTTACAAATGGGCGTTTTTTTTTCAAATATTCGTGGAAATTTTGTTTGTGTCAGCCGAGTTGAACTTCCGAACATCTAAAAATCTGTAGGTTCTAGAAAAATATTCGCGCGACGCAGTGTGTCTTTGGAACGAAAAAAAAATCCACAAACGTTTTCGAGTACTTATAAAAGTTTTTGACCAAATTTTTTTTCGGCTTCGCTCATCCTTTTAGTTTAGCGTATAATATGTGCCCAAAGCGCTTATAAGAAACGCTGAGAGCTGACTGAGCACAAATGGTTGAGGTAAATCACCTTTGGATTGTCCGGGTGTCCAAAAATTCTGATAAAAACAAGCGTTCGCCCCAACCGATAGTGACTTTAAATCTAGATTGATTAAAAACTGCAGCAAAACGTTTAACCATTTCTAAAATTACTGCACTTTGACAAATTACAAAAATCACATCAATTTTAGTTGAAGTATAAGTACTCTGTTCATACTTCAAATTGTCCTTTTCAGTGCCCCAACTGGCTTCGAATGAGGATATTCTGAAAGCGGGTTCTGCCCAGATGCGAGTGGACGAGAGAGGCGGTTCGATGATATGCAGATATGTGACAGTTCAGACCACTTGTGAGATGAACGCGTGGAAGTTTCCATTTGATAAAGTAAATATTGGGTCGCTTTTCCGAAAGGATTACCATACTGAAACGATACACACTAAACGATTACCACAAGTTAATCTTAAGTACAGCAGATCAAAATCTCGGCCATTTGTCTCATCCCCTGGGGCGTCAAAAAGTTTTCAAGGAATACTTTGAGGTTAAATCTGACGTTGTTCAATAAAGTTCAATAAACAATAATATTTATGTTTCTTTTTAAATTTTTTGTTGTTGAAAACTGTCTTCAACTGTGTATCTTTAGATTATACGATTATCTGTCATTTTTAGCACGAGTGCAGAATAAGTGTAAAGGCAGACGCGGACTCGACTGACCAGCTGGTCCTGCTAGCTTCCAACAACAGTGGCAAGAGCTTCATGGAGGGGGACATTTGGAAGATACTCTCTTATGAACAGATCGGGTAAACTCATTGTTTCAAATTAGTCATCACTTTGAAGGTACGTTTAAGATTATTTGATCTTTGAATCTATGGTTAAGGTTGCTTCAATTCTCCTTTTTTGGAAGAGAGAATCGAACCCGCACAAAACGATTGATTATGTTTATAGTCGAACATTCTGTTCATGAATTTTTAAATGATTCATAGCGGTTTTAAGTGGTCCTATGACCCGCTGTTGTTCCATAATGGGGCATATACACATAACTGTTTGTTTTTCAATCATTTGTTTTTTTTGTGTAGCGATGACCCCGTTGCCCAAGCGTATACCGGAAATTCTGACGTCACATATTCCGAAATCAAATACCTCCTCAAATTTCAGCGACAGGGCAATTTTATCTTTACCATAATTTCCCTACCCGGGGCCATGATCAACCTACTATGCACGGCTTCGTTTTTTCTTCCGACCTCAAGCGGCGAGAAAATCGGACTAACAGTCACTTTATTTCTCTCACAAGCGGTAAACTTGATGCTTTTTTCGGAGTATCTGCCCCAGGGTGGAAACTCTATACCTCTAGTCGGGCAATATTTGGTTTTATCGATCATCAAAGCGGCTTTCAGTGTTGTATATTCGGTCTACGATTCAAGAAAAAGCGAAACCGACGAAACGAAAAACGAAAATGACGAAAACGACGGCAAACTTCGTGATCAAAATCCTAAACACGTGGAAGAAAAGAATGCAAATAATTCAAAAACTTCAACTTACAATCAAAAAGGAAACGGAAAAACTGAAAAAAGCAATGAATCGGCTAATCTAGCAAACTTGCGATATGGATTTGTGTTCACGAGTCGTGTTAACTCGGTTTCGCCGAGTACCGGGCAAACTTACCCAAAGGAACACTCGGATACGAGCTTCTCAACCGGCTCGACTGGTGGGGTGACTGAACGACTGATTAGAAAGACGACGCATAAGAGAGCCGAGATTATGGCAGGGTTTTCGACGTTTATGAAAAACAACAGAAGTGAATTTATGGGATGTGTGTTTGCGTTCATGACTATTTCCTGCACTATCGTGTACGCGTTTCTTCTCTTCTTAGATTTTTGAACCTCAATTCTAAAGCTACTGACTTAATGCATGGTGAAAGTGGTATTAAATGTGATATTATGTTTTCAAGGTTGAAGCAATTATGATGCACGAAGATAATGATTTGGTTTGTTGAATTTATATAATGTATAAGAATGTGAGATGTGAAGTTTTTAGTGCCTGTACAGAAACTCAAAAAACTAGTAATGATGTTTAAAAAAGAATAAATTTTTCTGTATGCCACATCAAATTTAATAAGTAACGCTCGAAACTAATCGAAAAAAAAGAGTAAATTAATCGAAGTAATCGAAAAAAAAATTAATTGATTTTCTGAGCTCTTCCAAACCAAACTACTATAAAGACGCTAATTTGACCAAAAAAAATATAATCATCAGTAGCGGATTTAGGGGAGAGGGTGGAAGAAACCAACCCCCCCCCCCCCCACCCTCAGGGATTCGACCCCTGCCGACCCAAAGGGTCCCCCTTTGAACTATTTTTTAGATATCCATTTTTGGATGATGGACCCCTAAATTGCTCTAAGGGCGCCTATGGCGCCAATCAAAGCTTCTTTTGAGGGGGGACCGCGCGCCGAAAAACGCCATTTTTGGTCAAAAATTGTTTACCCTAAACCTAAATTACCCACTTTGCTTAGAGCAACAAAGCAAAGAATTAATTATCATCGCGCTGGAGCTGTTTAGCAATCCAATGACAAGCAATCAGATTCATCGCCGCAGTTTAAGCTTTGAAACAAACAACATGCAGCTATTGAGTTAATACAGCGGACGTCTTAAGGTCGAAGTGGTCCTAAATTGAGAGTGGCTCAAATTTGGCTTTGAAATTCAGTGATAAATAACTCGCGCGTTATTAAATTAGATTGATTTATTGGACCTCAAGAACAAATTTGTCCATGTTGACCAGATTTACTTTTGCCATTGATTTAGCTTTTCCTAATTTGACTTTTACGGTCATTTGTGTTTGTTGCTATAACGTAACCTTGGGTATCTTATCCTTAATTCATTTTTTTTCAGGGAAAGTTTCTGGAACTGGTGGTTGAATAAGATGATGGATCTTTCAATAAGGTCTGTCAACAGTAATTACTGCCAACTTTTGAGAAAGGTTCTAAAGTTTTGTGGATTCATTATTTGTCTTGTGAATGCGTTATTAAAAACGTTGAAGACGACCAAAATTTTATAGTATTGTGAGTAACAGATGGAAAAGAGAACCTGTTATATCTGGCTGACTTGTAAGCCACCAGTGTAGAAAACAATAACTTTAGGAGATATGTTAGGACATGGAAAAAGCCGATTCGCCAAAAAAACCATCAGTTTGAAAGGAAGCAAATTAGGAATTCAACATGAAATGCGCAAAAAAATGGCAGCGAACTTAGTAATGCAGTACGATGATAGTCATTGGAACTCGATTACTTCTGATTCCGATTGGACAGCTTCAGCTTGTCTGTCGGAAATGGACTATTTGTCAGATGAAGACCTTACTTTGGGTCAATTGCTAGCACGCCGAAATCGAAAAACGAAAGAAAACATCGAATTTTGTGGAAACTCTCAGGGAATCTCGTGCCATGTCCAGAGTTTTTGAATGAAGTAGACATTGAAATTCGTGACAGAACTGCTTTTGACTATTTCTGCCATTATTTCAGTGAAGATTTCATGAAGATAATTTGCGATCAGACCAATCTTTCCATCAGACAAGAAAGCTCAAATTCCACCTTCTATCTTGACTTCTCACTTTACCGTAAATTTACTGCAGCGTCTCTTTTCATATCACTTTTACGTCTTACTTGTAGCAGACAATTTTGAGCGGCAGAAGCTATCTGTCGATTATAGCCGACTGTCTCTCCAGAATCGAATCCGATTTCGGACCAAAAATGCTCTAAAAGCGCCTATGGCGCCATTAAAAACTAATTTTGAGGAGGGACCGCGCGCCGAATAAACGCCATTTTTAGTCAAAAATTGTTTACCTAAACCTAATTTACCCACTGTTGCTTGAAGCAACAAAGCAAAGAATTAAAATACCATCGCGCTGGAGCTGTTTAGCAATCCAATGACAAGCAATCAGATTCATCGCCGCAGTTTAAGCTGTGAAACAAACAACATGCAGCTATTGAGTTATTACAGCGGACGTCTTAAGTTCGAATTTTTCCTAAATTGAGAGTGGCTCAAATTTGTGACGGAACTGCTTTTGACTTTTTCTGCCATTATTTCAATGAAGATTTCATGAAGTTAATTTGCGATCAGACCAATCTTTCCATCAGACAAGAAACCCCAAATTCCACGTTCTCTCTTGACTTCTCACTTTACCGTTACTTTACTGCAGCGTCTCTTTTCATGTCACTTTTAGGTCTCACTTGTAGCAGACGATTTTGAGCGGCAGAAACCGTCTGTCGATTATAGCCGACTGTGTCTCCAGAATCGACTCCGATTTCATGATGTCTCATCTTCACTTTGTTGATATTTCTCAGCAATCAGAAAATTTGTCACGGGGCTTCAAATTCATGCGGCAAATTGATCACTTTCTTTATTTCGGTGTGCAAAATTGTTTGCAAAACAGAAAGTTTCTCTATTGACGAACAAATACTACCAACAAAGACCAGAAAATCAAAATTACGTCAATTTAACCCACGTAAGCCAAAAAATGGGGTTTCAAGATTTTCATGAAAACAATTTCAACAGGTTAGTTTATAAGATCGAGTTCTATCTGAGTAAGGAGAGCAAAAACAATGTACAACTTCGAGCATCTGGCAGCAGGGTTTTGAGGTTGAGAGAGAGTGTACCAAAGCACAAAAATCACAAATTGTTCTTTGATAACTGGTTTTCGTCTTTGGAATTATTAAAAGTTCTTCGAAAAAATGGAATTTTGCGTTGCCGAATTTCAATCTGCGGCGCATTCAGTCACTAGACGTTCCTACAGATGAGTAATTGAAATGAGGTGGCAGAGGAAA